AAAAAAAAAAAATAGGCATACAAATAGTCCATTAACCCGCATACCCCAATTGATAATAAATGCAAGTGTTTCGCTTTTATTGGCTAAAGCCATCGACAACAGTACTCGACAAGAGCACAGAGGAAAAAAAAAAAGGGGGGGGATCTAATACCGCAGTGCTACATGAAGATTGTAAACAAAAAAGTGAAAAGGAATATATGAATAGGAAAATGTGCATTATTGTAGAAAAAGAGGAGTATGTATGTAGGGGAGAGACACTGATCACATCATTATCCAAAATTGAGTTTTCTGGCAGCACGTTTCACACGGGGATTCGACATGTTAAGTAAGAGCCGCTTTTGTTCTTCGTTGATGCGGATGGGCGACTCAAATGATGGGAGAGCCATTGTGGATGGAGGGGCACGCTTACGAGTTTGCTTTTTGATGTGCTTGGCGTTACGGATGACGATGGGCATGAGGAGGTTCATGACCTGGAAGGCGCCGCATAGCACATCCAGGTTGTTCGAGTCTTGTGGTACATAAAAGATACCAAGATGAATCATGCGATACAGGCCGTGAAATTTTAGATCCATGGCAAAGGCTCTGCAATGATAGCCCTCAGCCAACAGGCCACAAACTAATACATCCCGAACACCATCCTCATCCAATTTATCAACGACGTCCTTGAGGCACTTGCCAAGCTTGACCAAGTCATTGCTTGTGGTGTTGCGAGGGGGCTTGACCTCAACCAGGAGTATCAGTTGGTTGAGGCATCCATCATTGGTCTTTACACTGCAATCGCCCTTGCGGCCATGGGAGTCAGGGTCGAACTTCTGCTTGCGAGAGCTAGATGCTTTAATAGTACCGTTGGCACCTTCCCGACAGATGATATCGTCGTTCGGGAAATATGCCTTGAGCAGTGGTTGCAGTGCATCATGCATGTAGGTATCTTCATTCACACCATCAGCAGAGTAATTGCTAAAGTAAGCCCTAAGGATATCATGGTAGACGTCACGATACACAACAGCAAGATCATCCGAGACCTTGGCGTCCTGTACAATGCGTTTTGCCTCTTTAACATTCGTCCGGGCTATTTCGTTCACATTGTGGCATCATGTACTATGTGGCCTGTTTAAGGGTTGCAGAGGGATCTCATCTCGGCATTGTTCAACCATGATATCCCACACGTCTCCGTCCGTTAAATTGCCAGATTTAGAGTTGTTGGAGATAAGGCAGATAAAGTTTAGGGCAAGCTGATCTACTTGTGACAAGGCCTTCATTTTGCGTGCGTTATCGACGATCAAGGCACGATACTCCAAACTTTTCTGTTAGGTCAACTTCACCGATTATCCATTGGGAAGGCTTGGTAGGGCGAATGTACTGTTCGATGTCTGCGCCAATTAAATACGAGTAAATGGGCTTGCGAGAAGTGACGATTTCGGTTGATGAGGACTGACTGCTCGGATTATACGATGACTGTGAGCTTGACTCTTTCTCGCTTAGTTTTTCCTCGTTGAATTCGTCTCCATCGGAGACATGAGTGGACCCGCCCGACTTAAGTTCGGTGGTGGACCAAGATGACTGCAGGGACAAGGAAACACGGGACATGGTTGCAACATCCGACATGGCTTCAAGTCCTTCAGTCTGATAACGAAGACGAGCACGAAACTGAAATGAACAATAATAAAATTAGAAAACAATGCATCGCTTTGCTTATTGACTTACCAGAGCACTCACAGACTTCTTCACTTCAATCCATGTGTCGGCATGGTATGAAATTTTCCTGCAGTGAAAAAAAAAAAATGTAATAGTGATTTCATATTTACAAAAACGTATGATTTTTACCTTTGGGAATTCTTCATCTGCTTTTCTATTTCAAACTTAAACAAACCACTCCAAAATTCATACAATTGCTCGGGAGATTTGCGAGCAACAATCACAGATGCAGTCTTGACATCCTGAATGTGATTGTTGATGAACTGGGTAAAGTTTGGTTTTGTCCTCTCTTGAATGAACTTGCTCAGGAACTCGGGAGCCTGCTGTGCCATGATTAACAAGACGTGAAAAGGATAAATTTCATTTTTTTTTTGTCTTGTTGCGTCACCGCTTGTTCACTCCTGTTTGAGCTCTTTTTTCGTCACCGCTGGTAATTTTTATTGTTTTTCTTTTTTTTTTCCTAATCATTTTTCCATGATGACAAAGGAATCCATCGGTCTGGTAATTTCTGCTGGCCGGATTGGTAGCGAGCTTAGCTGGCGTCCTAAGTGAGGTGTGTTGGGATAAATCCATATCGGTATTGCCGCTATGGAACTTCGCACCGTTAGCGCATGTTATGTGGAATGATTTTCTGTACAATGGTAAGTGTAAAGCAAAAGCTAATTATATGATGGATAGCTTTCCATGATAACAAAGGAATCCATCGGTCTGGTAGTTTCTGCTGGCCGGATTGGTAGCGAGCTTAGCTGGCGTCCTAAGTGAGGTGTGTTGGGATAAATCCATATCGGTATTGCCGCTATGGA